TAGGCACAATTTGAGTCATAGAATCGAAATATGGAACAAAGTTGGCATGTCCTTTCAGAAAAAGTCGGATTTTGTGTCAAAATACTTATATTAGAACAATGGTATCTATAAATCTAACATATATCCGAAGTCGCGCTTTCGAGACATGAAAACTGCAATTTGAATTTCGTCATTCGGCCGAATAGAACGAGAGATTACAACCGGCCCCTCTTTTTTTTGTTCCCGCAGTGTGCATAAATAGAAACTTCTTTATTATTTACTACAACTTTTAGCTTCAAAACTTTAAGGCGCTTCGATTCTGATAACGTTTTTATCCTCGGAGAAAAATTTTCAGTACATATTGCAGACGCTAATTGATCAATCTCTGCTTCTTATTTATTTTCAGCTGCGGAAAATACTATTCACATAGATATATACTGGCAAGTAAATCGATTACCCTTCATGCAAAGTGTCCGTACTAAGGATATTTATCTTTAAACAAGTACGAAAAAAATTTAATCAAAACTGTATCTTCCAAACTTTGAATAAGATTTACATCACAGTGCACATTAATTCGCTCCATTTGTAGGTTTTCTAGAATGTTACTCAAGTCCGTTTTTATTAATAATGAAAATAATTTATTTTTTATGCCAAATTATTAAAATTATAAACATTCTTTCAAATTATTGTCACAATAGTTAATCTTACATCAATCCTAATGAATTTACTGGAAATATACTTCGGGTTACTGGAAATATACTAAAATTTGCTTCGGGTGCCGCAAGTGACATGCAGTGGCCACCAGTTTGAGAGCATTGTTCTAGATCGTTCTGAAATCTGCATTGATTATTTAAAAAATCTTTGAAAAATTTTTCAGTCACGAAATTATTTAAATTGCTAACTGTAGATTATGTATATACAACCACATCATTCAGACAAAATAAATCAAGTTGAATATCGAAGAATATCACGTTCGAATAATTTGAAAGAAGCTATTGATTTTGGTCTGTAATTTTCACATTTTTTAAAACTGTTTGTAAACTTCAAAGTGCTAAATAATAAATAAACTAAATTGAGAAATTACTTTGTCTTGAATTTCATTATTTTTATTTAATAAACTAAATCGAAAGTATATTAACTATTATAACAGTTTTGTAAACATCCAATTCTTATTTTGTAAAAGAAAAAATCCTTTAATTTATTTATTTTATGGCGCAATATTAAAATATTGGCTTATCTTATTAAAATAAACATAAAACGTTTTCTACCTTTTAGTTTATCTTTGTTAAGTAAAGTAAACTCTTAACTACGAGTTTTAAACGAAACATGTTACTTATCAGCTATTCAGCATGTTTATTAATATTACATCCAAGTTCTTTTCTAACCAAAAGTTAAGTTTAAAAAATTCTCACTTGCTTTCCTTAAATTGGCACACAGGGACAACAACAACCCATATATTCTTAGGGATACTAACTGTCTCACGAAGGTCTCTCTTGTGCCCATTTAATAGCCCAGCTATATTAGGAAAGACCATTTTAGAAATAACTTTTCACCTCAATGGTAATTCATAGTCTCTTAACAAAAGGCTTATAATGCAAGCCGTATGATGTTTTTAGTAGATACTGAATTTTTCGGAAGCTATAAAATAAGTAAGTACATTATGCAAGCAGCTAAGGGAAAGGTTAGCTGTAAGAAATGATTCTGTTAAACTTTTGGGTTACTTACTAGATAACAAACAGTAAGTTCTTCTGTTGCTAATCCAAATGGAACATAAATTTAGATAATGCATTATCTCTTTTTGGTGTATTTGGTGTATTTAATTATGGCAAAGCACACGAGGGCTATCTGCCTAAAGGGAGGGATGCCTTTCGTGGAGGACTTTCTAAGGGAAACTGGCTCGTATACCGTTCCACCTGGGGAAAACCACGAAAACGCCCATGCAGCCAGCCCGTTCGCGGGATTCGAACCTCAGACCGAACTACCAGTGTTCAGCATCTTTACCGCTCGGCCGCTGGTGGGCCTACAATCTATCTCTTTTTGGAGTTGCTTAAACACGACTATAAATTTGTTAGAGGACTTTTCTTTTACTTTTCAGCGTTGTAACATAAATGTGCTCTCCGATACTGTAATATCCGAATACATTTTGAAGTAATTTCTATTTTTTAAGATAGGTTATCCTCGTCTTTCCCTTGTTGGTCCGTATGTTAAACATATGCTTTTACAAAACAATGGCAGAAAGATTTTATTCAATTATGTTGATTCATTTAATTAGTGAAAGACTAGTGAAGATTTTCTGTCATGGAAAAATTATCCATTGCCTTTGCAGAGGGTTGTCAAAATAAGCTTTAACTTATGCTTATTCATATAAAACATAGAGGAAAAGGAAATTGCCGAGGCAGCCAGATCTTATATAAGAATTCGAAATAGGTTCAAACTACCAGTGTTGAACTTTTACAAGCCTTATGAAAATTGAAAAGGTTTTAAGTTTCATAGCTTCCCATAGCTTGCATGATTTTTAGACGTTCGTTTTCAAAAGTACGCGCAGGTAGCTGTGTGTTTTGTTTGGAAGACTGTGAGCTTTAGATATTTTTCACCTGAAATCTGGTAACTTAAGCAGTTTAATAGCTTGTTTTTAATTATTTCTGTGGCGAAACATTTTAATGACTGCTATGACTGATTTTTAGTACTTTCACGGTTTTATCTCTTCATATTTAATTAGAAAGAACATGTTTTCTAAGCCTAATGTGAAATCGTAAACAAGGTGAACGTAATACTGTATAACACGGAAAATGTTTATATATACACTTAAGAATAATGTTTGTACAAAATTAACGCTACATCCATATATAATGTATAATTTCGTGTCTTAGATTAAAAGCATTATATCTGTTGTAACGAGAATATTATCAAAAATACCAAAAAATCAGAACTACGCCGAGACTACCCGTCACTGCACAGCCTCTTAATATACGCTAGGCACAGTGAGAGTCTACTATTAGAATATCTGTATACAATTTCAATATTTATAGGAAAAGAAATAAATCTTATCTACTTGGATTCTGCACATGCTTCTTGACGAATAAACAATTTTATTAACACTTGACATCAGCATTTTCACACTTTCTTTGAAGTAAAGCAGGAACTAGGATATTATTCAATAAACAGAACAAAAATACAATATAATATAATACAATCCAATTCATATCAACATTAAATTCATAGAACACTTATATCACTAAGCAAACACGATAAACGTGAATGTTTAACTTCTTTTGTAGTTAATTAATCACTCATAATGATTGTAGAAGACAAACAATATTTATTTAAAGAAAAATCTTATAACTTACCGTACATATTCGTAACGTACATAATAACAACGTACTCTCTGCGTCGCCCATAAGCATTTCAAGCGTACTCATCTGAATATCTTTTTAAAAATTATATAGAACGACATCCAGCAATTAGCTTTGCCATTCTCAATAGATATTTTGTCTATAACAATAACAATTTACAATCGTGCTTACATTCGACCATCCTGACATTTTCTTGTCCTCAGTGAACCAAATTTATCATACATTAAAACATAAATAAACAACAAAAAAAGTAAAGTAGAAAAAATAAAATGAAATATAATTTTGAAAAAATTCTATAGTCCTATACAAAGTCTCTATAGCGCAATGGTTTGCGCACTGTTCGCTTGGGCCTGTTTAGTTTGTCATCGTCTCCAATGCTTTTACAAAACACATATGTCATGTAAGTCATGTAAGTCAACCAAGATTTTAGTTGAATTACATGAGCAGTTGATGCATAAAAGCGGCCATCACAGGCTTCTTCTACACTGACTATCAACAAGTATTTGGACACCTTTGATAGAAAAGAAAAACTAAATTTATTCAAAATCAATAGTTGGTAGAGTCTCCACGAGAGGTAATTACAGCGTGGACCCTCCGGGGCATACTTTCCCACAAGTTTTGTATGACAGTTAATGTTATTTTCTTCCACTCGGCTTGGAGAAGACATGATTTCCTTCACCGTTTCGCGGGTCGTGCACCCCTGAATTCGGCGATGCAACTCGTCCCAGAGGTTCTCGATAGGGTTCAGGTCTGGACTCTGGGCAGGCCAGTCCATTCGATGAACTCCTTGACACCATAACCAAACCTTGGTTACGAAACATGACAACTGGCACTATCGTCCTGAAGTACAGGGTCCAACCCTAAAAAAACTGCCACAACGTTAAGCACATTGTCATCCAAAATAGTGCAGTAGGCATCGGAGGTGAGCTTACCATATGGGGACCAAGGGTCCCAGCCCATACCAGGAGAAACACCTCCAGACCATAATTCCACCTTCGCCGAACTTGACTGTTGCCACAATGCATTCTGGCAGACGTTCTCCATAACCCAGACCCGACCTGCCATCCGAACGGTAAGGTGAACCTTGATTCGTCACTCCAAATAACACGTTTGCACTGATCTACAGTCCAATTTCGATGTGCTTTGCATCACATTAACCGAGCAGCGCACTTGGACTTTGTCAAAGGCTTATGCAGCAGCACGACCATGAAAACCAAGCCGATGTGCTTCCTACGGATGGTATTCATTGAAACAATACTCCCGATGCCCTGGTGAAACTCCTCGAGGATGAGGCCATCGGTTGGGTGCAGTTCTTCCGAATTTCTTTGGACGCACTCGTCGGTCCCTATCTCCCAGTTTCGTTGGTCGCGACCGGGGCCATTCCGACAATCAAACCGCTCACCTTCCACTTCTTATCACATAGGCCACTGTCGATTTTGGTACTTCAGATTTCTAGATATGTCCCTTAAGGATCGCCACATGTGTGATACCCGATAATTATACTTTCTCGAAATCAGAGATCTCCGATTGCGAGATTTTGCATGCGACTAAAGCCGACTACACGGATCTACCGGCGAGTCCGTGACGTACCTAGGTCGCAGATATCTTCATTTGCATAGGTGTCCAAATACTTATGGTATTCATTTTTGTTGGCTATTCCTATAAGTGTCACCCAGAAGTACTTCTGTAACAACCTTGGCCGATACTTGGTTGAGTTTTGGTTGGTTCTCCTGGTGTAGATTTTGAATTTTTTTTAACTACTACTATTTTTCCTTGTTCAAATGATAGAGATCCCGATTTCTGCTTGTCATAATAAGTTTTCATTTTTTCTTGTTCTCTAACAATCATTTCTCTAGCTTCTTTTTGTAGTTTTTCCTTTTCCTTCCGAACTTCTGCTTCTTCATCAGCAAGTAATCTCAAAACTCCATCTTGAAATCGTGGTATATATCCATGAAGTATTTCAAATGGTGCTTTCCCAATAGTTTTATTGATTGTATTATTCAAGTTTCTCTCAACTTCTTTAATGCTTTTGTACCAATCCTTTTGATCTTTACTTTTCATTGATGTCACTATCGTTGATAAAATTGTTCTATTTGATCTCTCGGCCATGCCATTTCCTTGTGGGTGGGTGGTTGAATTTAATGTATCAAGAAATCCCTTTTCCTTGCAAAAGTTTTGAAATTCCTTCGAAGTAAAACAAGAACCTCTATCTGATATTATACGATCTGGTAATCCAAATTCTTCTGTGAAGCTCATCAGTGATTTCAGTACGTTTTTCGAAGATGTGTTTCTCACAGCATACAGTCGAACGAATCTGGTCATAGTATCAATGACGACTAACAATTCCTTGTTTCTTTTAGAACTTGTGATGAATGGTCCAAGATGATCAATGTGTATGTCGCAAAAGATTTGCGGCCTGAGGGAATAGGATGCAGAAGACCCTGTCTTTTACCCCCTGGAACTTTGTTGATGAGGCATTCGAAACACAATGATATGTCAAACAACAAAAATCAGTGTTATACCTACAAAATTTTCACAGCCAGACTATTCGATGGTTTTCGACCATCATCTTCAGCGCAAAACGCAATGACAGATAGGAATAATGACTAATAGATAAAAGCCTGGAAAGAATACAAGTGCGTTTCAAAATTCTTTAAATTGCAAGCTTGCCTTACTTCGGTCCATCATAAGGGATACACGTCAACAATTGTCCAAAATTGAACATGAACTCTATAAGCTTCATCTGGAACTCCTAATTCATATCCAAAATTCACTGCCCTTGAACAAAAGTCTTGGTCTAGAACGGAGAATGCAGTTAACCGTCATAAAAACACCCTTGCAGTTATATTCGAAAAACTTTTTTTACAGTCTTCCAGTAGTAGTTCAAAAAAATCTTCCCATTGTAAACATCAAGCCAATAGTTAATATTTCTAATGTTAGTCTTTCAGAAGAACAAGAGAGAAGTCTAAAAATATAATTTTAACTTCTCACAAACCTGTAAACTCTCGATTCCAAAGATTTTGGCTCCTATCGAAAAAACTTTCAAGTTCAGTAAAGTTTCAGATTCACAGAAAGAAATGATTAGGCATCTTATCGCTCATAATGTGAAATTCAATAATAAACCTTTGAAACCAAATCTAACTGTGAGAGAAAGAGCTACAATGCGCGAAATTCATTCTAACCCGTATATTATCATTTCAGAGGCATGCAAAGGTGGCCAGATAGCTGTCATGGATAAGAAACACTTACATTGATGGTGTCACTAAACTCTTAAACGAAGGACCATATAATCCGATCCCTAAAGATCCTTCACCTTCGGACCTGTCAAAAATGAAAACTGCAATCAAATTTTCGCACGAATCATTTCAAGCAACTTAAAACATTCGCTTATTTATCCCATCTGTTGCGAATTTTGCCAGATTATATGCTCTTCCCAAAATTCATAAAAGTGGTATTCCTTTCTGCCCTATTGTATCAAACTCAGGTACTGCCTCATATCCATTAGCTAAATATTTAGTTTCTAGATTTTCAACTCTATTAGACAATAACATTTACACAATAAAAAATTCAATAGAGTTTGTAAAAAAGGTTAAAAACATTTCTCCTAGAAATTTACTCATGGTTTCTTTCTTTTGATGTAAAATCATTATTCACCAATGTTCCAGTGGAAGGTGCATTAAGATGTCTAGAAACCAGATTTCGTGAATTTCATTTGTCTTGCATCGAAATTGATGAGCTAATTTCTCTCACTCAACTCTGTTTGAAACAAACACATTTTGTTTTCCAAAATAAATATTACAAGCAAACTGAGGGATTAGCCATGGAAAGCCCCCTCACTCCCATCCTGGCTGATATCTACATGCATTATTAGGAATCAAAATTGTTTGAAACATTAAACTTCCCGGCATGGTTTCCATTACGTAGACGATACTTTTACCCTGTTTGAAGGTAATAAAGATGATTTAAAATAAAGTTCTTTCAACAATGAATTCTATTGATCTTGCTATTCAATTCACTTTTGAACTTGAGACTTGCAATTCTCTTCTGTTTCTCGACATTCTGGTCACACATAACACATCCAATTTCAGTACTACGGTTTACCGTAAACCTTCTTCGGTTTCCCTTCTACCACACTTTAAATCATGTCATCCGACTAAACAAAAGTTAGCTTCATTTTATTCCTATGTTTTTCCGTGCTCTTCAAGCTTGCTCCTCCAAACTATCCCTTGATAAAGAACTAAATTATTTAAAAGCAATAGCTATTGACAGGGGCTTTTCACCCAACATTATTAATAATCAAGCAGTTAAAAAATTCTCATCTCAACACACTAAAAGGCACACTCTTGTTTTAGGAGATTATAAAAATTCTGTTGTCATTCCCTTCTTTCCATCAATTAGCTATAAAGTTGCACATATTTTGCAGAAATTTAACTTTTGGGTTGTTTATTCTCCCATCAATAAAATTCCGAGTTCCATACTCCAAGACCCCATTCTGTATATGAATTCCTGGGGTATTTATAGGATTCCTTGCCAGTGTGGTTTATTACATTGGCCAAACTAAGAGAGCCTTAAAATTTCGCGTCAAGGAACATGAGTCATATGTTAGAAAAAAGGAAACACAGAAGTCTTCTGTTGCTCAACATTGTTGGTCCGAAAATCACACTTTCAATTTTTCTGCTGCCAAAATTATTCAAAAAACATCTTCCATTCGAGAAATGGATTTTCTAGAAGCATTTCACATTAAAAAAAAACCTTTCTGTTCTAGTTAATGATCCTAATTCCAATCCATCTTTGCCTTTGGCCTTTAAAGAAATTATGTTTTAGTTCTGGTTTCATCAACAGATGGCGCCACTTGCTTATTCTTGTCCAGGCTTTCTTATCATATCTAATCATTATTTCCTATCTTGTTCATTTGCGGTTTTGCAGCTGAGGATGGTGGTTCGGCAGAACCATCGAAACTAGTCCTGTGAAAATTTTGAAAATATAACGCTGATTTTTGTTGTTTGACTTCTGATTAGTATTTATCGCGGTTATTGTGTCTTACCAATGTTTGTGTTGCATCCTTTAGCAAAACCTAATCGATTTTGAGGCCTACAATAAAGTTCCTAGCCATGAAACTTCACAAGACTGGGATCTTAGCAAGGTCGACACAATATTTTCTTTTTATCGGCACCAAATAGTCTATTCTTTTCTGTAATTTTCGACATTTTGATTTCTTCTGGCATCTCTCAGGTCTTTCTTCAAAATTGTTATTAAGCCTAACTTTTCTTTAAACTGTTGAAATTTGTATTAAGGTCTCTAAATCTATTTGCGCTGTCTCTCAACCAAAAAAGACCACTAAATTACACCGTTATGTGAATTTTAATTCTCATAAGTCTCACCAAAGTATTTATTGACTAAACCTCCAAAACTATGGTGATGCATATTTGTTTGCATTCGGTCAACGCTTGTTCTTCGGTAACTTCCGTCATTCAATCCGAGATAAACCGGAGCATATCTAGAGTCCCAACAATTGCCATAGCTCAAGTCTTACGCGATTGTTCTTTCAGATTCCGTTTGTTTTTTACTCACGCAGTCAAGTTTAATTGCCTCACTTTCAGTTGAAGTAACATGCCATCAATATTCTGCCAGCATTCAGTATGGATTCTGTTTGGCTTCGGAACAAAGCTAAAATTGGTGAATCGATTCATTTTTCGCATTGTAAAGAACCGCTGTTCTTCCCATCTAATTTTAATTTTTTCTTAGTTAGAAGTCCGGCCTTTTAATGGCATAATTTGCAATAAACTTCTTAAAAAAACTTGTAAACCAAGGAATCGTCACTCAGAAGGTTTTTATGGAATTTTGTATTACTTCAACTTTTCTTGACGGCTTTGTTCCGTTTTTATTGTATAAAGCCGATTCTGTTTCTTGTTGGAAAATTCACATTTGGTAACTTCAGGGTTAGTTAGCTGGTAGTGCTTCGAATACTTTTAATTAATTTTCTGAATCATTCTTGCCAGTCCTTGCTGGACAGTATATCGTCAAGTAGCACAACACTTCTTTTTACATAATGAGATAATGCAGGATACATCAATCGTTGAAATCCGCAGGAGCGTATCAAGCCAAAAATCATCTTTAAATTGTCCACTTTCATCCCGGTTACAAGCAGTTTCAATTTTCACATTCAGTTAATGGAATCGTACATATCCGTTGTTAAATCAGTGTTGTAAACGATACTTAATTCATTGTTCTAATAAATCATCTATTTTAGGCAGGGAAAATTTATCCTTTATAGTTGACTTTGAGAGTCTGTTCAACACTATCTGTATTCAAACATCGTTTTTCTTCACTAGTATACTGGATAGCAATGGGGATCGCGCTTCTGTTTCAATTCCATTTTTCCATTCTTGAACTTTTCTTTGATCGCAGCTCTTTCAAGGCATTTTTCTATAAGCTTCATACATACCGCTTGAACCTTCGATTTCCTAATGTAATTTTAGATCTGTGCACCCTGTTCTGAATATTTAGTCAAAGCAATCTCTGTATTCATTCAGAAACGCAATAACTCTTGCTGGTGATCAATGTGTCGAGATTTCGAAGCAAGTTTTCACTTGGCTTAAACTTATGAACTTTTTATGTTGTTTAATGTTTCCGTTTTGTTAAGTTCGATGCTCAATCAAAAATTTCAATATTTAAACATAGTTCCAACAAAGAATCTCTAAGAGAAAATGAAAGCTTCCATAGCCATGTAACCGTTTCGCCTCTGCGCCTCTGTATCGAAGAGCCACGGCTATGCATAAACACATCCAGGGTAAAATTTAAAAGCGCAGTTCGAGGAGATATAAATTTTTTACTTTGAATAATCAATGTTTTATTCATACATTCTGGATTTTTATAGCAAAGGATGTTCGTTGGAATTTTTGGGGCAATTATAGAATCCTTCCAATTTTTACTTCAATTAAACCAAGTCGTCAAAGACAAATTTAAATGAAATAAATTTCTTATTCTTTTCGTCGGTAACTTAAAAGGGCCAAAACACATGCCATACAAAACGTATAATTTTTTATGGATCCATAGTTAAAATTTTCCAGTGAATTAAAAAGCGAAATTGCAATAACTAAACGGAAACAAAAAAATATTTAAAGACAATTAAAAGGCACCCCTAAAAAATTGAAAACACTGAAATACATTATATTATCCGACAACAACTTTAAAAACAAATTACCATGAAAACGTTTAGACAATTTGGAATGACCATTGTGAAAACCAAGAGCAAGTTTCACCCATAGCCAAAACCATTTCACTTACAGCATTACGTAAAAGTCTTTAAAAGAATTTCACAT